CAGCGAGCTGCGTCCGTGCCGGGGGCTGCCAGCAGACGTGGGCACGCTGCGGGGGCCGAGCGCGACGCGAACGTCTGCAGACTCCTGGACTGAGCCGCTGTCCAGACGCAGCAAAGGGGAGAGCTCTCGCTTGTAAAACCAACATCGCAGCACAACATTTAATTCTACTGCCTAACTCCTCAGGAAGCGCTACTCTACTCGGATGCAGAGTAGTGCTGATTTTCATCATCTTCTCTTTCCCCTGTACTCGTCTCTTCTTTTTCTCCTTCGTTGCTCTTGCTCTCCTCATTTTCTTGTTTCCTTCCCTCTTCTCTATCGTTTCCATGCTCCTCTTTGCTGTTCGTGGCATCTTCCTTTTGCTTTTCGTTTGTCTGATTCTCTATGCTTTGTTCACTTTCCTCACTTTCCTCTCTCTCTGTGTTCTTGGAGTTGTCTTCTGTGTATTCACTGCTGTAATCACAGAATGGGGGGGGGGGGGGAAGAAAGCAATTTTAAACCAAGTTCCAGCACTGAGCAATCAATAGGGTACAAAAAAAAAGAAGAAAGGCTCCTGGCCTCCTTCACCACAGTCGGAAAACTCTTCTCTTTGTTTTCTGTCTCACAAGACTCGTCTACCGATGGTGTAAGAAGCTAAGCTGCATGATCTAAAGTGAACAGAAACCAGGGACTGGCAGGTACATCGGTCTGAATTAATCAACTGTAACAAAATGAACATACAGTGAAGTCCAGGTATGTTGGTAACAGAGGGCCCTGAGGAAGGTGTTGCTAGAAAAGTGATGGTCAGAGATGGAAGGCTTGGACTTTCCCTTGATCGTTCAAAATTGCAGCATTTGACCCAGAAAAGTTTAACGTGATTAGCCCTGAGCCCTGGATGTCTGGGGCATGTATGTATTAAGCAGTACACACTGCTCCAGGGCTATCCGTCACTAACTCTGCATGCAGGTGCTCCTACTGCTCAGTAGGTGTGAGGGAGTTTGCTCTGTTCCGACCGAGGAGGAAGCTTTCCTACGCTTGCAGTGCAAGAAGCACTGTGCTGTGCACAAACTTTATTCCCTGCGCGCGCAAAGAGGAAACGTGAGAAACGCTGCCATCTCCTGCTCAGAATTGATAGAGCCCTTAGATGAGCATGGTGCTACTTGGAAGCAGAGTTCCAAGACTTCAGTTTGTCCCCTCAGTCAGGGGCTTCAACCCAGATAACCAGGAGGATGCTACAACTACAAGGAGTAAGGCCTGCTCCCTTCTTTTTTGCAGCCCTGCCAGTTGAGGCTGAAAGGATACTGCTTGCGTTAAGTTGCACTCGGGGCGGGGGGCTACATGTGTTGAGATGAGGAACTGTTTGTCCTGTACCTGTAGATAGCTTATGCTGTCATGCTTCGTGCTGCAGATGCTTGGTAGTACGTATCGTTGTTTAGATGGTGGGAGAAAACTGCATACATCTATATTATGTGGATTTTAAAATCCAGCTGAGGTTTTTGAAGGCCTCAGCACTGTGAATCTCCCTCCTTCACAGTCACTTTTACAGTCACATTTTGACGCTATTTTGCTTCTGACTAGGCCCACCGTTATGCACTCTGGGCACTGGAGCTGCTTTCAATGTTCTTAGAAACAGCTTTTTATACAGATGGCACTGAAGAGTGAAATTAAGCTCCTTCACTATTATTAGTTTAGTTAGCAAGGCTTCACTTGAATGAGATTTACTCTAGGTTATACCAAAATATCAATATTAAACCCTCACTGCCAAAAAACTAAAGCCACAAGTTTTCGCTAGGTTATGGCTTCACATATCAAATAATCCCTGCTACAGTGTACCGGTACAGAGGATGCATGCAGTCCAGAAATTTGGATGTCAGCTATCTGGCAATGGAGCAGTTGCTTTATTGCTGCTCAGAGTAAAAAGCCTGTTCTCTGGACAGCACAGTAACATGCCAAGTCCTCATCTGTATTTTCACTGCAAGAGCACCATGCTGAAAGCAGTAGTTTTATGATGCACAGAAAATTAAAGGAACCTGAGCTGGTTGGACCTCAGGCCCTGAGACACTGACTGCAGCAAATCTGGGTGACAGATATGCAGTCCTTTTACTGAAGGTAGTAGGTGCTTTGCTTCCGTCTCAGTCTGTCCCCCAGAAAAGGGAAGTGAGGAATTTTTAAATGTACGTGGTGCAGAGGTCTAGATAATAGCTACCTTTAGGAGAATCAGCTGTCGTTTCTCTTTCTCCTTCTTTCAGCTCTTTGATGAAGCTTTTGCTCACGTCATCTAAGGCCTGAAAGTGATATGGCTTGTTAATAAGGGCTTTAGAAATACAGCTACAGATCTGTCCAAGTTTGTTTTCTTTTGATTTCTACTATCGTTACTTGCTCCTTCACTACCTTAAAACTCTCTGCAACAATATGCTTCACTTATCCCCTGCAAAGGTTGTTAATATCTCTTAGTATCCCTTATCAAATGTCTCCTCCCCTGAAAGTTCTCTCTCACACACACTATCATTTTTCTTCATGCAGGAGAGTAGGTTCTGCTTGAGCTTCGGACACCCATGAGGCATCCCCAAACAGGTAGGTGTTTATGCTGTAACTGTGCTGTCTTGTGATTTAGATGCCTGGTGAGCCCAGTGCTGTGTGACCTGGTCAGGAAGATCACATGCAACTCACTGGCAGACCAAGGAAGACAGACTGCTGTAACAGACAGACTGTTTTATGCCTGGGACAATGGCTGTGCCCTAGATGTTCTTCCATGGTCTGATGCAAAGTGGTTTCTCTGGGATGCCTTGGAGAGGCCAGAAAAAGGTGAGTTGTCGTCAACCCTACGTTCCAGCTGTTAGCAACTGAATGCAGAGGAGACACCACTGTGTACTCAGTGTGAAACCCTTGCCCCAAGCAGGTCAAAAGAAAAATTTCCCTTGACCCAAACAGGGCCAGGACTTCACCCCTCGGTATGTTGTACTGGTTCACAAACAGAGATTAAGTTTTCCAAGCCAGAAGACTTCATATCTTTCATTATGTAAACTACTTCAGAGACAGTATTGTCCCCCTTTTAATGCTGTAACTGTCTAGTGACAATTTCTCTGTCCTCATGACATTAGAACGATAGTTATAGCTAACTTATTAGTTCTGCCCCAAGCTTCTCTCCTCTTTGCAACATGCCACTTACAATAATGATGGCCTGTTGAGCATCATCATTGTGAATAAGCTTTGCCTTCTCAAGTGCTTTTTCAAAGTTGAGGATTGCAGCCTGGTAATCCTTTAATTTTACTGTAACCAACAAACAAAAACATCTATTTTAAACTAAGATCGCAAACAGGAGAAAAACAACTGGTTAGTTAGGCAAATCTACCATGAAAAGTTTTATTTGAACAGTTACTTTAGTTGTTAAATCCCAGAAATGTTCCCATTAAGATGGTGAATATAGAGGTACCAACTTCTTTACCTTGTGCTTGTGCCACCAGTACACCAGCATTGAGTTGCCACTCAACATCTCCCTCCTCATCTGCTGAATGCAGGGACTTCTCTCCGTAATTTTGGGCTTCTTCAGCTTTGTTCAGCTCAAGGTAACATCGGCCAAGTTCATGGAACAACCAGGTCTTCTCCAGGCTGGATTTTGCCATTGGAATCTTCTCCTCCCAACTTCAAGCAGAGAGTAAGAGAGAGAGACTTTTACTGAATTTCACTAAGTGCTGTTATAATTTCAACCGCTGGTTCTATAAACAAAGGGTTCCAGATGCTGCTATTATGAAAAGTTATTCTACGTTGAGATCTGCTACGTATTTAGAAAAAGACCAAGCAATAAAATCTGGAGAACTCCAGACTGATGATGGGTTTTAAAGCCATTGCTATCTGTATTGCTAGTTGGGATGAGGGTGTAATCAACGCTCATGAGTACTGGAATCTATATAGTCAATAAGCACCAGAAGCTTATTGGTGTTGGTGATCTGCGTACAGTGAGAGGTACACCTCAGGTGAGCTCCTGGTAGAAGGCATGTATTTCACAACTAGCTTTCTCGGTAACCTGTGCTAGCAGTATATTTAAGCAACCTGAAAAGACAACACCTATTTAATTCTAAATAAATATTTATGCTTTTTTCTGTTACTAATTTTACATACGTGTCAATAGCTTGCTGGAATTTGCCAGTTCTGGCATAAACTCTGCCGATGTTATCAAGGGCTCTGGATATGGCATCTGGCAGATTGCTGCATTGAAAAGAAAAAGAAATCATAGCAGCTGAAATAATCTTGTTCCTGATACAGTCTGCATTTTTTTCAGCCCTCTATATTTTCTTTGGTGATCAACATGACACTAGGATAAGTGTTGAGGAGTAGAGTTAAAGGACCAACATCAGACTGAAAGTCATAAAACCAAGGTACGTTTTTGTTTTTTATCTACAATTGTTACAACTCACAATGTGTTCATATCAACGGACTCCTGGTAACAGGCCATGCTCCCAGTGCTCTGAGTGAGCTTTTCCCCTATGCTAAAGGCAGCTCCTTTTAAAAGAACGTAGCCTGCAGAGTTTAAAGTTTTTTCTTAATTAGTCCTCATTCCCATGTTTGGAAATGGACTGCTTTGACTACCCTTACCTTACAAATGAAAAAGCTAATGAAAGGAGAGAATAAACGCATTGCTGTGGGCTATGGGAGTCAACAGAACACCTCCTCTCTCCCTTCCTGAACTCTAGCCACCAGAGGGTGATTTCCCCCCCCAATAATCACTGCATTTCTATCTTCTAAATACAACCTTCAGTCAGTTTGAAAAAGTAGTAAAATTAGGTATCTCTTTCCTGCCTCTCCACTGCTAATTCTTACTTTGTTTGGCATTACAGGAGAGTGGAGATCACCAGGAGAGAGGCAGAAGTGTCTTTGAAAAACAGTTTAAAAAAAAAAATTGGCATTTGTAAAAATGATAAACAATAAGCCAGTTACATTTTAACAGCCCTATGCAATATCAGCAAAAATAAAACCAAAATAACCTAATTTCAAGCAACTATTCAGTGTTTTCTCATATGCCTTGAAAAATTAGATTACTGAATTCTAAGACTGTTCTGCTCTATTCTGTTTTAGCTGAAAGACTGCAGCAAATTTTCTGTATGAGCAGGTAGCTCATGTCTCTTAGATAAATATTTCAAGCGTACCATCATGGTTTGAATGCAAATGATTTTAGGAGAAAGTATTATAAGAATCAGAGCCTGACCTTTCTGAGAAGGAAGTGCAGACTAGAGGTTAAAGTGTTGAGTCTGGGACTTGTGTTCTTTTTTTGCTTTGCTTAAACATAGATTTTGATGTGTCATGTGGGCCAGATCCTTTAAAAATTTGCTTCAGTCTCCTTATTTCTAAACAGTAAGGATACTAACTCACTAGGGACCATGACACTTGGGCAACATCTGAATGCATTGCCCTGTTAAATCTCCAGGAGGGAGTTACAACATTACCTGATGCTAAAACACCTGAACAGAGGTACTTTCCTCTGCACATTGATCTTTTCCCTCATCCACTGGAGCTTCTCAGCACTTACTTCTGCCTGGCAAATTCCAGATCCGTTTTGTGGCTTTGCAGAGCTGCATCCATCTGGCCCATCTCTATCTGAGCATTCCCAATGCAGTTGTGGAGGTTTCCAATCAGTTCATTCTTGTTGGGAACTTCATCATCTGACCACCCTTGTATTGTCTTTAGCACATGCTCAGCTTTGTTACAGCTTTCTTCTGGGGAGCCGCCAGTCAACACTAAAGAGCAAAGTTTAGTGCTAGTGTGTAGACACAGCAATATTTGGGAAGCAAGAATAAGAGCAATTGTGTAGGTGTCAGAAACGGCTTGGGAAGGATTCCTGCTCTTAGCTCTTCATCTATCGCCTACAGTCCCCCCCATCAATCTCCAATAAATCTGCCCTGGGAGACAGTACTTCATTTCCTACCACCTGCCACTATGGCAGTCACTTTCATCATAGCAAGTGATAGGAGAGCAGTCTGGTATCACTTTTTGTTTGCTGAAGAAAAATAAATGAGAACGATGCCCATTGTCTAAAAGTCAGCTGAAAGCACGTGGTCGTTCTAGCAGGACAGCCTGGTCTTGGAGATGAAGTATTAGCTACAGTACTTAGGTTTTATCTCCTAAATTAGTCCCTTGCACTTTCCTGGTGAGCTATTGATTGCACCCAACTGGTTACAGTCCTGTGGGGATTATACTACAGGATGGTTCTGACATTACCTGCAGCAAGCTGTTGTAACTGAAATGAACTGAAAGGCAGTAATGTCTGAGGTTTTTTTTCCTGGGTTATAAAACATAGAGCACAAAGAGAGAGAAAGAGAACAGAAACGTCTGAATTACTCCTTCCTTCTAGACCACTGTTCTTCAGATTCTTCATCTCTCTCTACAATGGTATTGTTCAACTACAGAAATGATCAACTCCAGTACTCTATATTCTCTTAATAAAACAACTTCTACTTAGCAGACTGGCCAGGGGCACTTGCTAAGCATGCAGCAGTGGCCTACCTGGCTTTAATATCTAAGTTTTGTTCTGAAAAGCAGTTAGCAAGGCCTCAAGTACAGAAAAAGATGAGGGGGAAAAAAAATGCATTGGATTCTATAACCTCAAAGTATTGCCTTGGGAAAGAAGAAGAATATAAAAACATGAAGAATATAAAAACAAATACTTTCAAAAGCTGCCTGGTACTGTTTGTTAATAATTGCACTGGCTTCTGTTGTCATGGTCTGTAATCACTAGGGCAAATAATTGCGTATGTCAATCATCATTTTCTTACTGCCTCGAGCCAGGACACGTACACATATCAATGTCCTCCATACTCTTCACAATATATCTGGCAACCTCAGCTGGTTTTCGTTTCTTGTCTCTGATCCACCTTTGCTGCCTGAGCTTGCGCTCCCTCACTCGGGCATAAATAGGCTTCTGCTGCTGCCAGAATTCAGTGCGTTTGTCCAGGTAGGTAATGCCACCCAAAACCAGGTCCTTTACTTTGATCCCCTGCTTTGTGCTGCTCTTCATCAAATCTGAAAATAAGATGGTAAAACACAGGAGAGGATTGATGTCTGTGACAAATGAAGCTGCAGTTCGGTGGAAGGGGAGTGCCTGCAAATGTCTGTCTATTATGATGGAAAGAGAGTCCCAGGAACTGCACTGCTCAGAATCGATGTGGCTTTGGGAGAGTGATTAGAGAAGGCTCCTCTTGTTCTTACCCATCCGTGTGTGTTTTAGTGAGCTGGAGCTGTTGTTCCCAGCCTCTAGAGTTGCTGCCTTCCCTGCTGACAGAATCAAGAAGAGGCCTACCTAATGGGAGCCAGCTGTGGTGAGTGAATACCTGTCTTCCTGGACAGAACACCTACATGGGAAACCGTTTCCCTGGGACAGGCCAATTTGTACTTGAATGGCACTTCAGAGCAAGAAAGTGTTGTGGATTGGATTGCAATATGGAAATTGAGAGGGCTTTTACATGCCTGGAAACTAGATAGCCCACATATGGTATTGTTATCATTAATAATTTAGAACCTGCCAGTAGACTAAATTCTTAATCATTCTTCTGTTACGGGGTAAATGCTTTCCTAGAAAAATGACTACATGGGGATCACCTCTATATCTTGTTCTAAAATATGGTACTCGTCTGAATCCTACATCTTGATCTTAACAGCATGTATAATGAAACTGTGAATGAGGTATAATCTTATTAGCAATGCCTTGCACTTTAATACAAACCTTAGTGTATTTTATCATTATGCCAGAAATGAAATAATTTGTAATGATAAAGTTTCTGCTTTTGATTTCATCAGCACAGATTGATTTGTTGCTAAACTGTGCATTAGAAAAACCTGCTATTTCATTAGGAAGGAAACATGTTCACCAATGAATGTTGGATCTGGCTCCAAAATTATCTGTACTCTCTGGACATCTACCTCTCTCAAGACCACTGCAAACATTATGTGGTATGTGAGCTGTGATGCAAATAGGGAAGAGTAGTCATAGGGATATAAAAGGAGGAGGCGAAAAAAAAAAAACTGCACAGAAGGAACATTTAGTTAAATACATTGGAGAAAGACCTTCATCCTTGAGCAGCTTTTCTAGGTACACCTTGTCAGCATAAAGCTCTCCAAGAAGCTGTCGCTCTGTTTGCGGATTCCTCACATGCTCCTGTTTGCTTGTCCGCTTTTGATCCTTCGTCAGTTTGATTTGGAGTTTCTGTTTTGCTTTTTTGCTCTATAGCAGTAAAAAAATAAAGTATGTTGGGGGAGATAAGAAGGGAACATTAGAATTAGGAGGAAAGGCTTGGCTTTCGGAATTCTGTTTACGCTCTGTATAGGTCAAATTATTTTTTTTTGCAAGTGAAAACAAGAAGTCAGGCCTGTGTCCCACCAATTGCTTTAGCCATGAGCAATTGAAAATTTTAACCCAAACATGCTCCCTCGCTTCCAAGAACAGGAGGGGGCATTATAGTAAGAGCAAGAGCCCCACTGTCTTAGCACAGTGTCTTGTACTGTTCTAGAGGGCTTCCTGGCCAATGCTGTGGGAGCACATTAAATTTGTGGGATAGGCAAGTCTGGTTCTCCCCAGTCAGAGAAAAAGAGATTTTAACAGCCAGGTCTTCTGAGAGTATTTCTAAAGTTTCACATCCAAAATCCCAGCAATTACAGTGCCTATCTTTAGTCCCCTTTGCACAAATTATTCTAACCGCTGAGTACTTATAATTCCAGCTGAAAGAAGTGATGAGCATTCACTGCACTGACTTCAAAGGGAGATGTGTATGCTTGGCATCTCAGAGGAACAAGGCACTACCTTCAGGCGACCACCCCAAAATTAAGCAATTGAGAAAGTGTCTACCATCAAAAATGTGAACCTTAAACATCAGGTAAAACCAAAGTAAATAATATAAATAAATGTACCCTGGCTCTGACCTCAGTGCTGTTACTTATTACCTTTCGCTGGGTGATTTCCCTTTAGAAACATCAGTCAGGCTGGTAAAGAAATTTCAAATTAAGCTCTGTTTCTCCTTGGTTGCTCTTCCCTGCCCTTCTGCCTTCTCCTTTGTATTTTGTGTAGCTTGAGCCAAAACTCCATTAAAAGCAGGTGCATAAATACTCTCATAAAGGATCAGCATGCTCCCTATGCTCAGAATGCTTCACTAGACCAGTCATATCCCCATCCATGTTGCTACAGAAACTATTAATCCTGTAGTGCCTATTTGCAGAAAGCATTAGCGTTATAACAACTCTAGTTAGCTTCCAAAGCAAGAGCTCTTCCACTGTACCTCTGCCTGCCTGCTTAAAAAGTAGAGGTCCTCTTTATTCTCCAATTTAACTGAGGACGGACCTGCAAACATAGAGAACGTATTTGTTAGGGTTCAAGAACTGCAATAGAGCTCTAGAAATCAAAATGACTGTAAACGCACCAGACCTATACTATCCTGCTTCAAATAAAGCTTTCTACTAACTCTTCCATTTGAAATACATGGATGTTAGTATGTTCTTTAAGCAGGGATTACAGCTTATAAATGCTGATCTTCTCTGTATTTTAATTATTATTTTCACATGGCACCAGGGGGCTCCCATCACAGATCGAAATTCTGACAGACATATGCTATATCCTGCATGGATGCATTAACAAAAGGGTGGCACGTTCTTCTAAGGGATCACAGCTGAGATTTAAAATGGGGGGGAGGGGGAAAAAGTCACAAGCACAAGGGTCTTCAGCAGTGCAGAGACCTATTTTAAAGTGTGTGTGCACTGATACAGTGGCAAAAATCCCACTTCGTTTTCATTGTGACACCCATTTCTGCTATTCAGAATGCATTCTGGCAGTGCAGGAACAGTAAAAAACAGTTCTTTATTTTGGCCTGGTCAAAAGGAAGGAAGGAGATTCAAATGCTGTTGTAGAAACATTTTTTCCAGCAAGGCAGCTGGGGCAAGATCAGCTATATGAGTACGTGCATATCAGGGAAGGCAGGTGTTTCAGCATCTGCCAGGCAAAGCAGATTCAGAAAAGCAGTTTGGGGGATGTGCCCTGTTAACGTACTTGTGTTTCGCAACTATTTAAACATCCAGATCAAATGCCAATGTGTTTCCTTGTTTTTTTTTTCCCCTGCATCTAGGAGCTATAGCTTGATTAAAAATGGCTTGTTTTTTTTTATCTATTCACTTTCTACAGCCCAGATGCTCAAAGCGCTTAGCTCAATATATCAAGCACAGCAAGCATTTTAACTGAGAATTGCAATGATATCTAGATACTTGGATTAGGCTAAGAAAGCAGCAGTAATGGAGGAAAGAAAGCCTGATCTGGCACCTTTCCTATCTGTTTTCCAAATGAACGTCACATATGAAAAAGCTTCAGGCTTTGACGCAGCTGTGACATGAAGTTAATCTGCTGCACTGGAGGTGGACTGAAATTTTGAAATTGATTTCCCTGAGAGTGAGGCACCTAAATATCTTGAGGATCAGGGCCTACATGTATGGATGTGCAGGCAGGGTGTGTCCTGGCTCTGTGAATGGATAGGCTGTAAGGGGATCCACCTGAGCAGTTTCCAACTAGCTTGGCAGGTTTTACAGTGCCCTTGCGAGCTCTGCGCAGGTTGCTCTGTGCATGTGATAAAGCTATTTGTGTAAGGTGGCAGCCCATCTGAGGTGTCTGTGTGTCTGAGAGTGGGTGCACATCGTGTCCACGCTTGTCTGCGTGTGAAAGCATTGCTGACAGAAAAACTAAGGGAAAAGGGACAAGGTTTCACTTGCTTTGAACATCACTAGGTCCTTGGCCTTTCCTGTCTCCAGCAGGACGGAGTTCTATGATCTAAGCCAAAAACTATGAAAGCAATGCTCCATTGCAACAGTCAACAGTTTCACTGGTCTTTTGCAATGTAAATTGGAGGAAGATCAGGATCTCAGAATGGTCGCTCTCAAGTAGTATGGCAAATTTCATTAAGAAGTTTTAATATAGGGATAATGATCTCAAAATGGATTCTGTAATCAGTAGGATAGGAGGCAGAAGAAGAGCAGTAGGGGTAGCAAGTAGATGCACTGCTTTCTTTTGTATTACCTAGAATATTTTCTTGGTGGCTTTAGGAATGTAGGAATCAACTGTCCCAGGGTCATAATTTACTTTCATAGTCAAAAGTTATTAGATACTGTATATGAATAAGCATTCAGCTCTGCAGAAAACCAAGAATAGGTCTGTGCCCTTTTCAGTGGTTCCTGTTTTCATCTGAGAATAGCTACGGAGCACACGACTTCAGAAGCAAAGGGACTCTGCCATTGCAAGGTCTCTGGGTCATTTGCAGAGCTAATATGTCATCGGCTCTCAAATGGACAGCTTCTGGCTATGCTTGTAAGCTCCATAAAATGCAACATCTTACTTCCAATGCAGTTGACAATTGCCTCCTGGGATTTCTGGATACCCAGCCTGAATTTCTGTAGTTCTGGACGTAGTCTGTAGCCTCGATGATAAAACACTAATGCAAATTCAAAGTCACCCATGGTATATAGGGTCTCAGCTTTTTGATAAAGTCCCTGAAATAACATTTAAAGAAAGACATTAGAGGCGTCAATAAATTCCTTGCTAGGCAGAAGTGAGAGCCCTAGGCCATCTCAATTTGCATAAAGTCCACCCCTGAAACTCTTGCTCAGGTGACTAACCACCTCTGCTTCCCTAGGAGAACTAAAAAAGGTAAGTGTGCAGGATGAGGCCCCTTTTGCTTTTCAAGTTAGCTATTTCCGCACAATGCTCGGAGTTTCACACAAATAAAAGACCTGTCCTTGGCTACCCCAGTCTCCCTTACCCCTTCGTGCTCTTTACCTTGGAGAATGTTTTGTCATTTTGTAGAGAAGCTTCTGCATCTTTCAGGGAGTTTTCTGTGTCTCCAAGTTTAAGATAGCATTTTGAACGGGCAACTAGACAGTGCTTGTCGTCCGGTCGCAGCTGCAGTGCCTGGAACGCAGGGGACTTGGATATGCATTCAGGAAGCATGTAAGCGCGTGTATTTAATGCAACCTCCTCCAAGCCTACAGAGATCTTGATGCCACCTCGGCAGCCCCTGTCCCCTTGTGCTGCCACCTCCATGTGACCCTGGTGCCACCTGCCCAGGCCAAATCCCCTCGTGGTGCCACCTCCCCAGGCCAAGTCCCTTCGTGGTGCCACCTCCACGTGACCCTGGCGCCACCTCCGCAGCCCGCGTCCCCTCGTGGCGCCACCTCCCCAGGCCGCGTTCCCTCGCGGCCGCCGCCGCCCGGGCAGACCCCTCCCGTTGGTGAACA